GGGGGGAAAAACGGCGAGGAGGAACGATATTTTTATTTGCAAAATAGGAAAAAAAAAAAAGAGCAACCGAGACTTCCTCCCTTCTAAGAAGCCAGATCTGAACTACAAAGTAATCCTTCGCAGCAACAAAAAGCTGTGCCAGCAATCCAGCTGTTTCTGCTTAAGTTTAAATACTTTCCAACAGTTTGGGTAGTGAAAATGAAGTCGACTTCAAGAGCCTATAATGCGAGGTTCTGATTTCCTAACTCCAAGTACCTCTGGGGGCTGTTCGCTAGTTTGCCAGAGAGAGAGCGCCAGGGTGGGAGAAAGGAGAGTAGCGGTGGGACAGGGAAAGTGTTGGGCAGGGCAGGTCCCATCCGGGGCGTCTGGAGGTCGGGAAGAAACCGCCAGCCGATCCCGTTCTTAAGGGCGCGAGCACTCACTCAACAAGTGTTCCCAGTCCCTGACACTCAGCGCCAACTTTGGGCGACCCTTTTTATTGAATCATTTATTGGATCTCGCTTCGACCCGCTCCTCCGCTGAGCCCTTGAGAGCACTAATGACTCTTGAAGAGTTCAGATATTTACTTTAAGAGAGTATTTTGCTGTATTTCATCCTTCAGCGACTTTACTGCCTCTTTACCCCAGTTAACTATATTTACCTTTTGGCGCTTTGAACGGACTCAAAGGATTAGGAGGCGCGGGAAGAGAGAAGGAAGGCAGAAACATAGATTTGTTTCTATTTTGTTTTTGAAGAGAGGGGCTTTTTTTTTTACACTTTTCCCGTGAAACGTAAACAACAACGATCCTCTCAAAGCGAATATTATATTTGCTTTATAGTGATTCCAGAGTAAATCGCAGTCCGTTTCTTTGTCGCGGTTTGTTTTATTGGAGGGGGAACCCCAATAAAAATCCTAGCACAGTGTCACGCTTGTGCGAAATGAAAACACGAAAAACAATCGGACGGGAAGGGAAGGTACGACCAGAAATGCAGCTTTGCTAGGCAGCAATTACACAAAAGGAAGTGGGGTGTTGGTTCTGGACGAAACCCAAGATGAAAAAGTGTTCCGCCGTTTCTCGGCACCGTCTCAGGTTCCACCTCTAGTTTCTCTGCCTCAACGTGGGGAAAGGGAGCAAGCGCTCCACCATGCAGGTCTCCAGCCACTGGCTGAACTTGCCAGGGGAGCAATTCTGTAACCACCTTGAACCTCCAGGGCAGAGACAGGTATTGAGAGCCAGGGCGTGGGAACAGAATCCTCTCCCGCACCTACGTGGGACATGCAGAGGCTGCTCAGCCATAGCAGGCCACCTCTTGAGGAGACCTAGCTCAGTCTCTTGTACCCGCTTGATTCCTCTTCGTTTCTTCGTCCGACCCAACGCGGTAGGAATGAGAACATCCCCCTGCAGCCGCCCTCATTCTCTCTGTCTCTCTCAGACACACACACGAAAGAGATTTCCAGGCACCGCGAGTAGAAATGTTGGCTCCGCCAAGCGTCAGTCTACGTGCGTCTCCGCTTCGGTAAATAAGGTAAAGCTTTCTCTTCCGCTAGGTTATCTCCATCTGGCTGCAATTTTGACCGTCTCGGAGTGAGTCCGTGCGCCTGTGTGAATGTGGAAATAAAACGGTCTAGTATTGCAATTTTATGAAGAGAAAAAGGCAGCGGATCCATCTGCATCGTTAGCAGCTTGGTCAATGTTCTTTCCCGTCCCCGGTTCGCCCTGCCTCCTCCATCTCGCTCCCTTTGTGTATCTACAGCTATCGAAGGAAATACGGGCCGCGCAACACCTGTTTCTTTCCAGGACTCCTAGCTTTTATCGCTCCGGGTTTGGAGCAGAAATCGGGAAGGGGAAGAGAAAGGCGCTAGACCTTGGGCGAGTCAGGGAGCAGCTGCCGGGTTACGCTTTCATCCTGGGATCTCCTCCCGGCCTGGGACGGAGGAAAACAAATTGCCCAGAGACAGTGACGGGGGGAGTCGCTTCTTGCTGAGGCTACCTGCCCCTTAAAAGGCACGCCAGCATATTGGCGGCGGAAGGGAGGAATCTCCCAGTCCAACAGCGGAAGGCGCGGCGGGGGGACCTGCTCTTTCAGCCAGGAGCCGCGCGTCCGCCGCGATCGTGCTGTGCGCCTGCGCGCCAATCGGGCTCGGAGAGAACGCGCGCCGGTGGGTTGCCGTGTTCGTGGCCCGAGGTCACTCCACTAAGGCCCGGCCAGGAGCAGTTGCTCGACACCGGTGG